AGCATTGGGGACCCCGCCCCCGCCGCCGAAAGCCCACCTCCACTACCGGTAGCCTGAAAACCCTGACAAGAGCTCGAAGGCAGCCTCTCCGGCTGTATCTCTGTCCAGGCATGGTGGAGAAGGTCCAGTAGCCACACATCATTGAACCTCACAGGTCATCCAAGCCCGTTGTGAGGGTCGATGATTCAACACTGGCTAATCGAAGAGAAGTAACACCTAGTCCAACTCGCCAGACCGACACGTGAAGAAAGCTTTGGATCACCGAAAGTGTGCAACTGCCTAGGCTTGCCAACATATGGCCATAGCATAAAGCCCCAAATTGTTCGAATTATGTAGCAGGGCCCCGTACTTTCCCCCATGACCCATTTCAACAAAATTTGCAAGGGTACAAACAGCGTCATGCAATGTCCTCGGGTCAAGTAACCCGATGCCAAAAGTGCACATCTGGCACTTGGGATCCCAAAGTCCAAGCCCCCCGAAACGGAAGGTAGGTTCTAGAGACCTCAGGACCCAAATCAACGTAAACCCTCACCCCTGCCAGGGCGGAAGGATACCTTGCCGGTCTTACAATGATGGAGCTTCAAGAGAAGTCTTTGGGAACCAATAGCTCAAAGACTAGTTCTCTAGAGACGAGGGACTGTTGCACATTGTTTGCGCCGCCGTACATGATCATGGCCCCTCCTGTGCCATGGAGGAGCAACCCCTCTGCCCCAGAGAGCCTCAAGGAGCCCCAACTCCTGCATCAAACATTTAAAAAACAAGTCCATTATCACGGCGATGTCTACTGACCGTGTGTCGCTAGCATTCGTACTACTGCTGCTGCAGTACGTCGCAATCTGAGCGTGCTTCGAGTCCTCGGATGATGGCTCCGTGCTGAGCTCGGCAGCTGGGCTTAGGCCCGCTGGTGGGAAGCCGGTTCCAGCCTGCCGAGGCGGATCTGGAAAGTAGATCCCCAAAATACGGGGCCCTATACTGCTAAGGGTACATTATAGGAACCACCATTAAGGGATCTATGTCTCTGTTTAGGGTTGAGGGCTTTGGGTATATAGGGTTTAAGATATCCACGGAGTCTCATAGAGCTTCTACACGTGGGTTCGAAGGGCAGGCGCGTAGGACTGGATATCCAAATTGGGAATTTGTTCGGCCGGGGATCGTTTAAACGATTATCAGGGCTCAGTGGCCTGGATGGCTGCTAGGGCGTTTCAGTTCAAGTATAGAGGCCATAGAAAATTTGTGTATGTATGTATGTATGTATGTATGTATGTATGTATATACATATATACATATATATATATATGTATATGTATATTCATGTATTCATTTATTTGTTTATATGTATATGAAGAGCTATGTAGAGAGAGAGAGAGAGAGAGAGAGAGAGAGAGAGAGAGAGTCAGATATTTTTCTTTTCATGTGGCTCAGGGGCTGAAACGGTCCTTTGCACGCGGGGCTCACGGGGTTTCGATGTTTTACGAAGGGGTTCAGTGCTTGATAAGAACTTACAGGGTTTCGCAATGCGTCAGCAGGCTATTCAATCGTTTTTTGTCGGGTTATCAAGGTTTGCAGGGTTCAGGGTGTGTAGAGGCACAAAGGATTTTATTGGATGCCTAAGTCATTCTTCCGAATTCGGACATTTAGCGGATCTTGGGGATAGGGGATAGGCATTGCGCGGTGTTGACTGCCTCGCGGGGACCTAGGTCCGTTTTATGGAAGCGAGAAACACAGGAACGAGACATGCCAACAGTTAGCAGACAGTTTGGCGAAGGAGTGGTTGGACACTTTCTGCTGAAGACTGCTCAGGAGCAGGGCTCCGGGTGTGAGAGCCGGATGGAACCTCTTGGAATCCGTGTCAATGTGCTACGGCTGGGTATCTTAGATGGTGGGAGTAGGGATCGGCTTCTGGTTTGGTCTTCAGCCAGTAGCCAAATAATTGCAATTACCATTTCGGGGCTTCCTTATTATTAATGATTATGAGTATGGTATGATGGACCTCAAAGCCCTCTTCTGATTATCAAGGCCCAGGCTCTCTCTGTAGCGACCATCCGCCATCTCTGAAGTTGTGATGGGAGACTCGGGACTCGGGGCGCTGTCTTCCCATCCCAATGCTTCCGCAAATCGCAGGCCTTCGTCGTCGTCCTCTTCGAACTGCAGGGTGTGAACCTTTCACCCGGCTCGCTTCTACTCTGAAGCCCCCAGACCAAACCTGTCATAACCCACCTTTCTCCCTCTATGACTATGCATAGGGCACTATACACTATGCCTTAAAAAACCCTAAACCCTCAACCCTATACACTGAATCTCAGTCCGGAGAAAAGCCGGGATGCATCCTGGAAGTACTCATACGGCCCGTTGACGCAGCACTGGCCACCGAAGAGGACGGCCCGGCTACTCTTCCTTTGGGTTTAGGGCTTATGGGGCTTATGGGGCTTCTGGGGTTTATGGGGTTTAGGGGTTTAGAGGTTTAGGGTTTAGGGGTTGAGGGCTTAGGGCCTAGGGTTTCATGTCGGCATCATCTGCGGCTTCTCAAACTCTCGCAAGTCTGCAATGGGTTTCTGTTTGAAGGGGCACTCGGCGCCTTTATTGGGTTGCACACGGCTTCTATTGCAAGGATGGGTTGAGGGTTATTGGGCTAGGATTTCCTGCTGTAACATCTTCGGACTCAGAGCTTGGGGAATTAGGGTACCGAAACCCCAAACATCCCATGACTGATGTTCTGACAGATTGCAAACACCGAAAACACCCTAGCCGCGCTCCCCTCCCCTGATAGATTAGAACCCCCCAACGGCGACGTTTTTTTCTGAAACAGGCTGGTCCAAAATTATGGAATACTGTGAGGATATGTGTTCGTTTGCAGCGGCGTAGAGCCCTCTTTCCCTCGAAATTCGCATTGTAGAGCTGAGCTAACCGTTGGAAGCTCGGGAGACACCAGCGAGACAATGGCAAACCTACCAAAATATCAAGAGACCGAGGACCCAAACATCTCGCGACGGCACCAGACCGAGATGGAAAAAACTGTGGACAAGCTTCCGCTCGAAGGCCAGAGAGTGGTATGCGCCGAAAACCTGCAGGTCGTCGCAAAGCTCTGAGAAGGTACCGTCCTTTCAGCAGGTAGCACAAGGATACTCAGCCTCATGGACGAAAGAATGAACGAGTAATTGCAATGTGTAGTCGGCTAAGAATGTTTACGCCTGTAGGATATATTGATGCCATACGATTACAAGGCGGCCCCGAGCACATGGCCGGCAGAAAGCCTTATACTTTCGACTACGCATCGGCATAACGGATCCAAGTTGGACATCCCCTTTTCCGGTTGCACGCGGCCAGCTAAGCCGTATATAGGTTTGGACTCTATAAAATAATAAGATCCATCATTGAAAAGACCGCCAAATACGGTAACGCAAACCGGAAACCCACTGTAAAACCCGACCTAGAGATTACCTAGAGTCACCCAGATGCACCCACCATCTAAGACTTCTACGATGTTTCCTTGTTTGTTCGGGCACATAGGTCACTCTACGTGAGGCAACCCCAACAGCAACGGGAGACGAACCCTAAGTCCCATACACTCATGCTTGCTCCCTTCTCGCCCCCGGGTCCTTTCGGCAATAACTGAAAAGTACTGTAAAACATGGCGCGGAGGAGTACAGTAGCAGGTTCGCTGACGTAGCAGTTTCTGTCGGTGGTGCGCTTGTTGTAGGTCCTGGTCTAGGCGCCAAACCCTGCACCCGCACAAAGCCCTCTCAAATCGGTCAGACTCCACGTCTGAACTCGCACAAAAAAGTTTCAAGCCGCGGAGAACATCCCCAGCATGAGTATTCACACATACGCAGAGACTAAGTCCGGCACCCTGCGCCCAAAACCACGACCCCAAAATCCCAAAACCCCTGAACATGAAGGTCAGCAGCTCCTCTGTGGAGTAAGCCCAGGTATCACGAAGGTTGTGCTTCGCGTCAAAGCCGCCCACCACAAGGAGCATGCGTCCTTCACCCCAAACATCCCTAAACTGTAAGTTGCTGGAACGGGGCCTCTACCTTGTAATGCAAGTCATGTAAGTAGAGTCTCATAGTGCAGACTCCCGAAACGGGCTTGGATCTGCTCTTTCCGAATGCGAGGAGAGAAGTAAGGAAAATAAGCCACCGACCCTGGGTCTCCCATGTTTTGCAAATCCCGACGAGCGGACTTCGACATAGCATCTTTATGAAGGCTCCGGAACCTCTCACACCGGGACTACAAGGGCATTCGTCGGGGTTGAGCGCTTGCGGCCACGGAGTTTCAGATTGCAGGAGTCGAAATTCCAGCTTACGTTGGGAGAGGCTGGAGGGCTCTACTTGGATCGGACAGAGAATGGCAGAGAAACACCATTGCATCACATTGCGGGCCTTGCTGTTTGAAGGCCCCATAAGCCGCGGCTCCGCGTAATTATAGGGATCGAGTCTATACGGCTTCGGGCTGAGGGAATCATCTTGCATCCACGCCACCAGGCGCTTCGCAAACTGAGTGCCCCCACCTGTCACACCAGGCTCGACTTCAGAGTTGGCATTCTGAAAGCTCCAGGGGCCTCCTTGTACCCTCAAACAGGGATATATGGTCCCAAATCAGGGGCATTTCGGGTCTAATAGACCCGAAATTGCTCGTCTATTTCTGTTTGTCCTTCTAAGCAGCTCTTCCAGATACTGCTAACAGTCTGGATGCGTGCATGAAGAAAGCACGTGAGTATTGCGGCATCTGGTTTTCGGCAACATCAGTCCCGAGGCCACACACCAGTAGCGTTGCAACCCAAATCATTGTAGCAACAACCTACAACTTTACCAAGTCAATCCTCAAAGAGTTTCTGAGATTCGAATTGACGTAAGTGAAAGAGTCTGAGAAGTCGCAAAAGTGGGTCTTACTGGTTCTGGGAGCTGCACCCCCTCCTTCCTAAAGGCGAAACCGCAACCCGAAGCAAGGCCTACAGCCCCGACAATCCGAAAACTCTGGAGAAAGCAACAAACTCTACATCCTTAACCTAAACATTGCAAAGCCATGCGCTTTTTAACCCCATTCATAACCTGTTGAAAGCCCCTTTGAGACAGCTCCCACCGCTTGGTCGGCGCAACACTGCGATCTGCCGGTGAGTGGTCCGACCACACCAATGCCAAAGGGTCGAAGGTGTGCCTGGTGCACGGGACTGAAGGGTTAAGGGGCGTTTTAGATTTCAGGGTGTAGGTTTCTGGGATTTAGGGCAAAATAGTTTAGGGGGGTCTGCGTGGTTTTCGTTTCCGATCCCGAACACACCCTACGACGTGCAGCGGGGGCACACAGCGATCCTCTTGCCCGGCTGGTTCTTGCCTCCCAGGACCCAAACGCGGCCGCCGACAACAGTGGCGGAGTGGCCATACACATCCTGTCTGTCGTCATGTTTAATGGACTCTGAGTCTGGGTTTCTGCTTGGTCTCAGGAGGTCGGCCACAGAATCATGTATAGGTGCCCAGGAATTAAAAGATGGGGAGGCTGGTTGAGCCTGTGGTGCGAGAAACCGATAAGAAACGAGTTGTCAAGCAGTTCGGTCCAAGAGAGCTGTCAGAGAAAATCAAGGTTTAGGGAAAGGCTTGTCTTACCGAAAATTGCAGCGGTCCCTGTCTTGGAAGCTGTTGGGCTTGGTCCACCAGAACTGTGCGCCGCAGCCTGCCCTGTCTAAGCAAGCTGGCTCGCTCCAGCGTAAAGGTCGGCAGTAGGGAGCCATCTCGTGGCGCTTCAAGCCATCTATGGTCTATGGAGCCTAGGCTTGGGCCTCTCTTGTTCTAGGAGTGTTCTGGAGAGCCCTGGCTGACCGTGGGCAGCTGGATAGTTGGTAGCGTTTGGGCTAAGCCGACGCTCTTACGTAAACCCAGGACCCTAATGCTGAAGGGCTTTGGACACCCCAGTCTTCTGCTTCGATTTGCATTTTGGGGTCGCCATCCACTGCTTGTCTCAATAATAAACCTCGAGCCTATGCAGCAGACGAAGCAACCCCAGCCTTGCCTTTCTTGTAGGCAGTGTTTCACTTTCACTCCAGCCTGACTTATCCTCCAAGCGCCTCGCCTCAAGATCCGTTACTTCGGCCCCTGGAACGCAGCCCAAAGGCGTGAACCTCAAGACAATTGAATTAATCAGGACCTCTGCCTCGCACTTATGTAAGATGCAGATGACTACACGTCATGTCAAAACATGGCTAAAGAATGTTCTTGAACTCAGGGCTACGCTGTTTAGGCTCATCCTAGCACCGACATTTCTGAAACTCTCAGATCGTTATGCCGACCGTAGTGCTGGCAATGGCGATGATGAAGACCACGATGGCGCAAGCTGCGATGCTCAGAAATTACATCGTCATTATCGCTAGGACGATGCCGCGGAGGACCTGTGCGTGGTGGGAGTGACGGAAACTCGGGTCAATGGGGCCTAATGGTGATGACGACGAACATGAAGGTTAACATCAACGACGAAGTGATGAGACATGACGAGACGGTTCACAACGACAAACCACTGCAGCGACAGCGATGACGACACTGTCTCTCCTTGCGTATCATGGTAATAAGTATAGTGGCGATGGCACTGATTCCCGAAACACGGCCGTTATCCCATATAGGTACATGTCTGCCTGCTCCAGTTTTCTGCAAAACCACTGATCGAATGCAACATGCCGAAAGTCATTAGATTAGAATGGCATCAACTGTAATTCTTTGAAAAGGACTCGGGGGTAGACTGTGAAGTACATCTTCACTCTACGGGGAAGGGGTGTTTTCGCCGCACGCAGGCTCAGCAACTTTGTCTCGCCATGTGAAACGGAAAACTGACCGACTGTACTTTTTTCCCCGAAGTGCGGAATATCATCAACAATGCAGGTGCGATCGAGTAGCCTCTACCCTAAGTTCCCACCTGCGCAACCGTAAACCCTCCACCCTAACTTTCCGCGAAGCACTGGTCTGAGTCATCCGGTCCGCGACCCCGTACCTCGAAAGTCTGCTTAACCTTGCTTTCGGCCCCCACTTAACATAATAACAACAGACGTGTCTATTGTCCTGTTTCAATCAGGAAAGCTTGAAGCAAGCATCGCAACAAACATCAATCAGACGTGTACTTCGAAGTTCTGAGAAGAGCCCAGAAATCCCTCGACCTCACTCCTCTTCCTCCTCTTCCTGCTCTTGTGGCTCCTCACGCTCCTGCCTGGGAAAGGCTAAGGCACCCGAGGCCTTGAGATTGCTCCAGGCTTTCGGTGTTTCAGCTTCAGAGCTTTCGGATTCGGAGCCTAGGGGTTCGCGTTGAGGGATATATATATATATATATATATATATATATATTGGTTTAGGGCGTTTAGGGGACACCGACAATAACTTCTACTCCAAACTGCTTTGCTTCGGGGCTCCGTTGGATTTGCCCGGCGCATAGCCATTATGCCGGCATGCTCCAAACTTGTGAAAAGCCGTGACAGACATCGCAACAGCCCTTTTTTCCATCTAAATTGCCCTGGAGGAAAAAGCATGCCATGTCGTCAACCATTTCGACACAAGGCACACAGGCAAGCACATAGCTGCCATGCCGTAGTCCACAACACGCGTGAGAGCAGTTTCAACCCGAGAGATAACGTCACTGCCCGAGACCTGGATCTCCATAAAAAAGGGTTTAGGGTTTAGCCGCTGAGCTTCAGGCCTCCAGGTAAGCAAGGCCGCTGCATCCACGATCTCACCACGCATGACCTGAAGTTCGTGCTGAGGCTGCGGTTTGGGCCTTCGGTTGCGGGGAGCGTTGCCACTGCTACTGCCGCGACTACTATTACTACTGCTGCTGCTACTACTGCTGCTGCTGCTACTACTACTACTACTACTGCTTCTTCTTCTGCTACTACCACTACCACTGCGACGACGACGACGACTACTACTACTTCTACTACTACGACTACGACTAGTACTAGTACTAGTACGACTAGTACTACCACTACTAGTACTACTACTACTACTACCACCACCACCACCACCACTACTACTACTACTGCTACTACTACTGTGAACGAACCTCGATGTCTTGTCCAATTCGCTAGGTGTCGCAACAAGAGGGCGTCAGAGCTTTTAGGCTTCTTGATATGATGTTACTGCGCTAAAGGTTTATGCTGTTGCTGCCACTACTACTGTACTGCTGTGCTCCTACCTCCTCTTCTCCCCTGCAGCTGCTACTGCCACTGCCACTGCTGCTACTCCTACTCCTACTCCTACCCCGACTCCTACTCCTACTCCTGCTCCTGCCCCTGCTCCTGCTCCTGCTCCCGCTGCGGCTGCTGCTGCTGCTGCTACCCCACTTCGAGACCCACTTTACAAACAGTCTCTTTGGTGCTGTTCTGGGCCTTCTGGAAAGTGCCGATCATGCAAAGTGGGGCTCCCACACGAGTATTCAAGGTCCGTCTTTGCCACCTGCTTCAGTACAACTTACTACCCCAATAAGCCACGGAAACGAAAGTCGAAACTTTCCGATTCCTACTAAACTATAAGAACCCAAAAAAACCCAAAGGTTTCTAAACTATTAAGAACCCAAAAAGTCTAAAGGTTTCTAAACCATAAGAACCCAAAAAGTCTAAAGGTTATAGGTATTGGGGATCTGAGACAAACGACAGAACTTCTCTGCGTGGCTCGGGCTGCCGAAGTTCAGCCCCCGGCCGCCTCTACTTCGTCCACGGTCCTGGATTTCGAGGGGGTTTCGGGTTTAGGGTTTAGGGGTTTAGGGTTTAGGGTTTTAGGGTTTAGGGTTTTAGGGTTTAGGGGTTTAGGGTTTAAGGTTTAGGGTTTTAGGGTTTAGGCTTTAGGGGTTTAGGGTTTCGGGGAAAGCGGTTGGCAGCAAAGTGCTGCACGACCAGGTATACTAAAGGCGGCTAAATAATTACCAGCACTGCCTTGGTGGGTTCCCAATTATAATGATAGTCTAATATACCCCCAAACCATATTCCAATTATTTATGTAGGCTTCTACATTAGGTTGCGCCGGGAAGGAGCTGGCAAAGGATCCAGTAAATCTGCGACATTCCCAGCTATTGGCAAGTCCGAAGCTGACGCTACGCACTGGAGCTTCCAGCTTCTTCTGGATTCTTAATTAAGGAATTTAAGTTAAGTTACCATACCAAGCATCTATGGTGGCTAATCGGGTTTCCTTGTAATGGTAACTTAAATGAAACTCCTTAACAAGAGCCCGGTCTTTGCATGTCTTGGTGACAATGGCCGGTCACAAGATCAGCAGAACGGATGCACCCTTGTCTAGGCCCCAAACCCCGGGTCTGCAGTATATCAAGAGCCGAAGTCCAAAATCTGTTTGGAGTCATAGGCTGGGGCCGGACTTCTGAGCAAGCATCATATTGATGCAGCAGGCTGAAGGAAGCTTGAAGACGAAAATCCGAAGAGTGCAGCATGACTCAGATTTCAAATCTGCAACACCGTTTGGGCTCTCCTAATTCTATCGTCAGGGACAACCTCAAACTGACTCAAACTGAAAAATCTAGAAGCTTATTTTCGGAACCCAGAAGCTGCAGCCCTACATGTCGTGCCATCTTTGAGGGTCTTCGATGGGTCTTCGATGCCCGAAAGCCCTCAGCTACTGCCCACCAGCCTGGGGGCGACTGTGAAGTTCTCGATCCCAGACTCAGTTACCAGGACGTTGTCCTGTTTTGGGGGGAGGGAACGGTTTAGGGTTTAGGGGTTTTTTTTTGATGTGTAGTGACTTTTCCGGGTTTAGGGTTTAGGGTTTACGGCTGCCAGCTTGGTGTCTGGGGACTAGGCATCGGAGAGGTCCCCTGGAGTGGCAGGCGGTGACCATCGATTCTGCTGGGTTTCCTGATCCCGAAATCCTTGCCGCGGACAAGCAAGGAGGCATTTGTGGATGGCACCCACACCCTGACCCTTCCAACTCCGAAGCCGTCGATGACAAACTTGGAACTCCTTCCTTTCTCAAGCTCACCCAGAGACTCCCAAACCACTAAGTAACACACCTTAACAGCAAGAGATGTGGACGCTTTAAGGATTATTCCTGAACTATAAGGGGAAATGCACTCTTCGGCTTATGTTCGACACCGGCCTCCAAGCGGATACCTCCGAAGTTGGCAAAGTCGCCAAGCCGATGCCAGTTGAAGAACTTCGCACGCTCCGGTTCTTCTTTGGCCTCAAGGCGCCCACGTACAGGCTACTGCAAGGGCTTTGGGTTTACCATAAGGGATTCTACGAGCGTTGCTACAAGGGTTTCTACTAAACTAGGCTGCTTACAAAACAAGATACAGTCGCCTAAAGTGAGCAGTTCAAACCTCTCTGCATCCTATACCGGCCCTTTTTCTGGCCAGTATTGTTAATTCCACAGATTATTGCGGTTGCTGCTATGAGCATGATTGCTATACTTACGATGTAATAGTTTTATGCTATGAAAAACAATAATTGCGGCCATGATACAGTGGACCACCCTAGCAAAAGACATCACTACTTAACAGCAGCACAGGCCTCGAAAGCTTTTAGCCTCGGACTATATCTTGTTCCGCTGCCAGCTCGAAGCAGCTCAAAAACCCAATGCCCGAAGCCATGACTACATAGCCCAAACGTGGCCATGTTCGAAAGTTTAGGTCTGAGCCCAAAGACCCCTCGGATCCTAAAGCCATCGCCGTCAACCCCAAAAAAACACCAAGCCTTCACACAAGAAAACACATCCTAAATGCTGTCCCTCCAAAAGCTTACACCAAGCTCCGAAAGCTCTAAGACGCATACAGCCCCTGAAGGCTAAAGCGCTTCAGCGCCAGCTTGGCGATGATCCGGGTACCACTGGCATGTAGCCCACACGAGGGAAAACCGGCTTCTCCGCCCATGGCGCTTTGATGCGCTTTGGCTTTCAGAGGCCTAGGACTAGAGGACTAAGGACGCGCAGGGTTGTAGGTATGGAGTCGCAAACCCATGATGCGCTTTCACCAGGCCTCCAGCATCCCAAGACATGCAATGCATGGCTGGTGCTGGTGTCAAGGCTTCCGGCCTTCCGAAGCGCGTAATCCATGAAGTAAATGCCAGGCCTCAGGCGAATAGGGATCATGCGTGCTTTCAGGAGCCTGCTTCTGCTTCTGTGCTGGGATCACCTGCTAGAAGGCACGTGGCGCTGCAGTCCAAGCCAGGATACTCTGACGGGGCTCTTGCGATTGGCACACTTGGACATACTTGTAGCACTAGTAAATACCAGTATATACCAAAACGGGCTGCATAGGAGGACTTAAGCATGCTCCTATCCTGATTCCGCAGACCCTCCATGTCCAAAGACATGATCTCTAGCCAAATGCCGAGTTCCGCGCTCCACCGTCAAAACCTCGACAACACAAAGCGCTCAGGACATGTCGTCATGGCATGCACGGAAGGATACGAACATGTCTACAATGAACGCTTAACATCATCACTCCTGCTTGTGATGCTGTTCCTACTCATGTTATCTCTCTGCGTGTTTATGCACGCGGAAATTTCATGTGCGCCATCACTTGCATCAGCAAGAAGGGCATCACATGATCGGTCCGACATCAAAGGACTGAAGAAGCAGGAGGTACCTGCAAGGTCCCACGCTGAAAGGACGTATGGCATGCCTTCTGCACAACCAAGGGCTGGCAATATATTTGGGCCGCATGCAATGAACGGCCCACAAGAATGAGGTTGAAGTAGCCGATTCCCAATCCCGGCAACAACACACACTGGACTCAATTTTAGCCTACACCCTAAACCGTGGCTCTCAGCCGGGGCGGAGGTCGCCGAGGTCCAAGCGAATCCAGGCTCCAGCAGCCTCTGAACACGCAAGGCCTTGTAGCCATCCTGCTATGGGTTTAAGGTGTGCCTGTCCTGGTGTTATGGTTTCCGACTATGGTTTCCTTATAGAAGTCCTTAGAAAAGGTAGGTTCTTTTGGGATCCAGGTAGGGTTTAGGCAGCCTATTTGACGGTTAAAAAGCTCTTCGTGCAGACATGCCTAGGACCAGCTGTCGATAAAGAATAGGCACCGTGTCTTCGTTTAGGGTTTATAGGGTTTAGGGTCATTAAACCCGCATGTGCACTGCCCTAAACCCTAAACATCCCTAAACCCTGGAATCTACACACGGTTATTACATGCAGGGCTTACCCTTGGCAAATCGGCCTTGCGCTATTAACTGCTGTTTCAAGACATAAACCCGAATCAGCTTTTACCCATCACCTTCCTGAGCAAATCAACTACTTCTGGAAAGCGCGGCGCGGTGCAACCCAGGCATTATGGAATCCAGTCAAAAGTCGTTCAACACAAACTCCGACTGGAAACTCTGCAGGCTGGACGCCTTCAAACTTGAACATGTTGGCTTTTCGACACGTCCCTTGCTCAAGTCATACGTAAGCCCTAGTAGAGCATTGAGCAGTGTTCGCCCTAAGATGTCTAGTATCAAAGGGTGCCCGGCCCGGGCGTCTCGCTGCGCCCCCTTCGGATAGCCGCCGACCTCGGAATCTTGTAAAAGCCTTTAAAAGTCTCCAAACTAAAGACATTCTGAGCTTGATGAGAACCCCCCCAACTCGAAGCCTTTGCGCCCGATAGCGTATCAGCAGGAAAAACTGCCTTACCCAGAGGCTCCTACGAAGCCTATGGGTAAAGCCTTCAAGCATGGAGTCGAAACACTAGATGCGAGAAGCAGAACGTCAGGGAACCCCTCAAAAATCGACCCCCAGATTTTCGGCGTCGTGTGAGAACCCACAAAAAGGACTATTGCAGGGTCTAGTCATGCCTAATCCTAGTAATTCAAGTATCTGTATACTGTGAGCAAAACATTGACTACGTGGCCTACGGGGATACTCCTGCAATAATCCCGAGCTCGTTATGACATATCTTCAGGACTATCCGGACCTCGAGCCAGTCGCATTCTCCGCAGCCCTGAGCCAAGCGTTCGGCACCCACTCTCGCGCTGGAAACGAGGAGGGTCTGAGGAAACGTGGTGCACGAAAGATACAGCAAAAAGAGTTTCACACGCCGGTCAGAACTTCACCCCTGCCCAAGCATAGATCGAATGGACCCCAACCTGAAACCAACCAACAAATCAGAAATACTGCAAGCCCGCCAGAAGCTGTAGGGTTGTCATGCCCAACTCCCTACAGTATGATAATCGTCACATATCCTCACAGATCAGGGTCTGACATGATGGAGCGTAGTTTATGAATAAGGGGTTTACATAACCCACGAAAGCAACCAGTCCCTGAGAGCCCACAGCTATCGAGCGATGGGCATCGTGGGTGTCGATGCCCATGAAGTGACCCAGCCCATGGGGCATCAAGACCTCAACTTGTGGGCCGCCATGAGTACCCTGGCTTGGCAATCTTGAACTTACATAAACTTAAATAACATAAACATAAATAATTATAATAGTTGTATGTATATATATATATATATATATATATATATATATAAGCAGTAGGTTAGACTTATGTATCCCGCCGGAAAAAGCTCTGGAGGCTCCCCCCCCCCAGCCCCGCGTCTGGGATCTGGCAAGTTTCTAGCTCCGAGGGTCTGGTGCTGGGGCTTGTGGACGTGACTAGAGACTTCTGATATCTAAAACTAAGGATCGTTGCACAGAACACCACAAGGAAGAGCTGAAAAGATGGGCCCGCAACTTACCGGGGATGCAGCTTCTCCCATGCATGTCTGATTGTTCTCCGGTCTTCGTCGTGTTAACTTCTCTGCAACCTCTTCCAATCTCGAGGTCATCCGGAAGGGTGTGGCTGGCTCGTGAGAAATCTCTGGCGACACCGAATTCCAAAACTCGAAGTTCCGAGGGTGGTACCCCGCCGACGTTTGCTGCCATCATGTCGTCGATCTCGCCAACCTCGGATTAGTGGTGGCAGTCTTGCGCTCTGGCGTATTAGGGTACGTATCTATCTATATACCTACCTGCCTACCCACCTACCCATTCATATGTGTATCTCTCTACCTAGCTGCCTGCCTGCCTGTCTGCCTGCATGAAACAAAGGCGACGGTCAGGACTGCGACGTCTGGCTAGATGCAAGTCAATAACCCGCCGCCCCGTCGCCGAGGAGATGCAGAGGTACACCAAAGTCAAGATCGGCCAAACTAGCTCGAAAGCGACGGCCAAAGTGACTGCGCCGCTTCAGTCAGATAGAGCAACCGCTTTGGCAGTCGGCTTTCGAGCTAGACAGCCCAAGCACAAGCACGAGCATTCGCAGTCGCGCTGGTCGCCCAAGACTATGTCACATGCATACATGTAGAAAGAACGACAGCTTGACCTTTTAATCTGCTTTGGAAAAACGATCGAACCCGTGGCACCGAACCGGTTTCACATGGAACCCCTAAGCAACAGTCCAACCCGAAATTCACAAATTAAAAGCAACGACGCATCTTTGGGCGATGCCCCTTCTGAGGGTCGAGGCCAGCAGGCCGGCGTCCCTGAGTCTCTCGCACCTCAACTGAACTGCCAGCGCCGCAACTCAATTGGGCTGTTGAAAAGTAGGAATAGCCACAAGGAACATAACAGCAAAGATTACTGACAAGAACAAGGTATCTGCCACTTCGACTCTGAGGAATGACAACACCACCCGGGAAATCAAGAAACGTGTGTTCGAAGCTTGATGGCTTTGAGACTGCACTGCTGCCTTGAGAGCCGCGGGCTGGGGTTTCTGAAAGTTTACCGGCCCGATTTTTCTCTCTTGCATCTCTCTCCTGTCCTGCACAAGGCTACTGTCCGGCGACGAAGCTCCAGGGTGGAGATGCAGCTCCAACCGCCAACAAATCGCAAAGGGCTGCGAACAACAGTCTACCTGGAGCTTTGGGGAACCAGCGATTTCAAGACTTCAGCCTCTGCAACCGGTTGGCTAGAATCGTGCATGAGTCAGCCCATGTGGGCTGACTTCGAACAAATTCGGGCACATGGTATATTTCTGTGTATTGCACACCATCCCCCCAAGCAGCTGGAAGGTTTGTGGTGCAGAGCAGCAGCGAAACACGGAATCATGTAGGATTGCAAATCTGGGATTAGTGGCCGTCTTCGCTAGGTGTGATGGGCTTTCGGTGCAGACACTAACACAAGTTGATAAGATGCAGGCGAGGAGGTGTGTGGACGTCTAAGCTTTTTAGTCATCGTCGTCCTGGCTGACATCATCCTCGCCGTAGTGGAAGTCGCAATAGCGGCATCAGCATCAACACACGCATCTTGTTCGTCACGAGTTTAGCGGGTATAAAGCAGCATTTATTGTTCAATAGGCTTCGTAGCCGCAGCAAACGCCTATGTCGTCGTCGCAGCCGCAGCTGCTGCTGGATACGGTTGGTAGTAGTAATTAGCAGAAATACTCGTCTTCCTTCTCTTCTCGATCCTACTCCTCCTCCTCCTCCTCATCTCCTCCTCCTGCTTCTACTGCGACTACTTCTGCTGCGAGGACTACGACTACTACTCCTGATCCTCCTTCTCCTTGTTTCCTTGTCATCGTGGTCTGGTCGCGACGACGGCATGGCACGGCCGTGGTCGCGGTGGTGGGATTGTCAAGAGCAATAGAAGCAGTGGCAGAAGAAATGGCGTATTTCTGCAGAGGATGCTACAGCAATTTGGGCTATTGTCGGGATGTCGGGATTACTAATTATAAGGCAGGCTCTTGGCACATTCGCCAAATAGGTCTGCCGAGCCTCACAGCGAGCCCACACCATGCCAAGCAAGACCTCTGAACAAAAGACCAGGTCCGGCCGTGACCCTTTCCGGACACGGCTCGCGGACCCGGCTCTCTGTGCAAATCTACTACTCGAGAAAACAAGTTCACGGCCCCACGGCCGTTGCCAGCCAACAAAGAGCGTATCTGGCAACACAACGTGCCTGGCACGTCTTCATAATATTATACAATATCATATAGTACTGTATAACGTTATAGCATATTATATAACGTAATATTATATGTCTTCAACCCTCGGCAGGTGCTTTATGTCAGCGCTGGCTCCCCGAAGTCTTCCCGGCGACGCTGCTCCACCTCTGCCTGGAAAGCATGCGGATTCTTCGCCACACTGATGAGGTAGGTGTGAAGCTGAAGAACATAGTGGCGATGCGTGGAGGTGTCTGGGGGTAGCGCATCCTTTGGGGGCTTCTCCAAGGTCTCGGCGTAGTACACAACGGAGCCGCGGCCGCAGGGCTCTTCTTCAGTCCACGTGCTGCTCTCGCTGCACCCCATCACGCAGAAAACGGAAGAACGCAGCAAGAGACCAAGCTAAGGCCAAGGGCTTGCTTGAAGCTGAACTGCAGCGGTACTTCGACTCCGGCTCCCTCTTTTCTGCGTATTTCAACAGAGAGATGGGCATCTCAAGCCCTGGCCAAAGCTCAAAGTGCCCCAGTCAGGACTCCCAATGTCTAGGGTGCCCAGTAACCTAGGAATAAAAAGGCCTCCCCTTTTTGGTATTATCGGATGTAACTTTATAAGCTACCTAGAACTACAAAAAGGGAATAAGAGTACTACTGGGCATCCTAGATGTGTCCTTGACAAGACCTCAAACCCCAGACTTGCACCCTTAAAGCCCTATCAGAAGACCTACGCAAAACTCTTCTGGCAAACAACTACCTGGTAAGAACCTTGTTCCACAGGCTTGATTGGTGCTCGCCCGGCCAGAATCCCCAAGCACATCGCACTCGTGGTAAGAACCTAAACCCTAAACCCTAGACCCTTAACCCTGCACCCTAAACATTCTAAACTCTTGTAGAAAGATGTTCAAACCTGCAACCAAGCAGTGCTGGGTTCAAATCTCATTCAGGAGGCTCAGACTCCGGTTTCCGACTCACACACTCGCACGAGGCAGGCAAGGCTTCAGGCGCTAAGTCCGCTGAGCTTCGGTTTGAGGATGCACGGAAAAGCCTAAACTCTAAATTTGCACATCTGAAGTCACAGTAGGATAAATTCAACATTCTGAGTTCGCAAACCTCTGCACCTTAAACCCAATACCCCCACTTCTGAAACCCTCAACCCTGATACACCCCAACACTCCCAAACCCTTAGCCTCAGCCCTTTTCTATCCCGAAACCCCGCGCACAAGGGCTCCTGAACATATTCGGTGCTCAGAACTCTGGGGACTGAAAAGGTTCCGAGGGTGCCGTTAACGGCTCTTTTGAAGGGCTGGGTCTGATTCTTACCTTTGGTTAGTAGGGGGTACAATTATTTCTACTACTACTACTACTACTACTACTGCTGCTACTACTGCTGCTACTACTACTACTGCTACTGCTACTACTACTACTACTACTACCACCATTCATCCATTCCCTACTAACCCAAGAGTGCCTTGAAGCGATTTCGGGTATGGGGTTCAAGGTGTTGCATGGCAGATTGCCAACCAGAAAGCATGATGCAAGTAACGGTGCTGGATCGCCAGGCGTAACTTTCCAAAGAATCAGGGTGTTGATTTTGTTACTGCTGGTTTTGCGGATTCCGCTTGGTGATTTAAGTTAAACCTCACGCCCTCTGAACTGGCGAGGAGGAGATCGTGCAGGGAAAACCAGTTCGCAGCTGACCTTGTTTGGGAGATTCACGCTTCAGCGACAGGGATCTCCTAATTAAGCATAAGACACCCGCAGTTTTCTTGCTCGGGCAGGCGTGGAACAAGGATCGCTGCAGGACTCTCCAAAAAGGCCTCCACGGTATCAGATGGGGCAGCATTCACCCAAGCCTCTGCTCCCGCTTCAAGTTCTGCATCCAAAGGCCAGCAAGTGCGCCGCAGGGCAAGTGAACGAGCCCAGCGAGGCAGCCGTGGCCCATGGGTTGGAGCTTGCTTTTGCTGCGGCTCTGCTGGAACACAGCTCTGATCGGTGCAAGGTCGGAAGTTGATGCATCCTCTTTCTGAGAGCACGAGTGGTTGAATCCAGTTCTCATCCACCGTCAGTTCCAATTCCTTGCTTCCGTGGTCTTCCGCCCACTGCCAAAGGACGTTCCTTACTCCCCCAAGAAGAAACCACAGAAGTAAAAGCTTAAGCTTTCCGATTACTAAACTATAAGAGCCTAAAACGAGTAAAAAGGTTGGAGTATTGGGGATCTAAGGTTCGCCAGGTGCTTCTCTGGGCTGAGCTTCACACCTGGAGATCTCCAGCCCGAGCAGCTAAGGCAGCTCAGGTGCCGTTTTAGGAAGCTCGCATTTCTCAAGGACTGGAGCGGAAGCACGAAGAAGGCTTCCGCAACACTGCGGGAGAGGATGAGTGCACGATCCAGGCCCTCAAGGTATCCAGCTTGAAGACTCAGCTTCTGACCCCCATCCGGAAACACTGCAACATGACCTTTCCGAAGATGACTGAGGTCTGGAAGTGGAACTATGTGCAGAAGGTCGGGTCGCAAAAACACTACCCAGTCCACTTGTCCAACAGTCTCCTCTTCTTCTTGCAGGGCAATCTGACATCGGCTGATGCCGAGTAACTGCCGAGCCCACTTCAGCCGGCCATTCTTCTCACCGTGCCACCATGCCTCCTCTGAATAAGCATTGACCACTTCCTCGACATCCTCGTAACTGCCATCGTCCACCACGTCAACTCGCCCTAGGACCGCCGGCAAAGGCCCAAGCTGTGGACACGACGTGGACCGCAGCACTTTCGAAAGCTGCGACTGGAGGGAGGCTGAGGCCGCGTGCCCTGCTTCGACACCCAGATGGGGCTGGCTCGCAAGCGAGAAGAGAAGTAGCAAAGGAGCAGAGGTAGAAGTCCCGGTCCCAGCTGCCACAGGACAGAGGCTTTTGAAGAGCTGCCGAGCCATGGGCTCAAGAAGTTCACCAGACATGGCTCGAGGTTGTCCGGCCACGCAAACCGCAGCGCGCATGGACTCACCAGGTTCTTGCCTTGGTGGGCTTGGAAGTTCGGGCCATCGAGACAACGTCGATATCCAGCGCACGTCGCGGAATTTGGAAGCAACTCTTGACGACACTTCTGCCACAATGCTTGCTACAGTGCTCATGCACTCGTGGCCCTCCTGGCCGTGCCTGAGCGTCTCGCGCTCCACCCTTAAGATCTCAAAGGCGGAGCGAAGTCGATCCTTGAGCACTCGGAAGGCCACGGCTTGCCGCCACGGAGGCGCCATAGGCCCAAGGTCCATGGAGGCTGCGAGCTGCAGGAGATCCAAGGCCGCCGGAACTCCGCCCAAGGCCTCCAAAGAGCAAGGCGGGGCCAGCAGGAGAGTTTCTGCCAAGGAGGCGTTCAAGGCATCAAAAAAGCCCTGCCAGCCAGTAAGCGCTAGTATCGCAGGGTCGGGCAGCGAAAGAAACCAGCTCGAAGCCCACATGGGATCGTGAGCGGCAGATTCGCCCCCCTGAGGCAGCAGGAGCTTCTGCACCTCGAGTGCAGCTGGCTGCTGAAAGCCCATGACGAGAAGCTGGGCGGTGAGTGCTGCAGCTTCGCAACTCTGCCGCCCCATTTCGATGGCTTCCAGAAGCAATGCCTGCACTTGTTGGAACTCCTGCGAATCAGGATTAATTTGCGTCCATATCCTCACGACCACCTCCAGCATGTCCTGCGAGCGCTGCCAATCCACATCGTCCTGAAATTGCAACGAACCGCAGCTACTCGCACAGAAATCAGGAGCAAAGTCCACCAAGCATGTGCGAAGGTAGCACCAGTTGCACGCAACTGCATGCGATGCCAAGGCGGATATGCACCAGTGCACATAGCGCGACTGCATGAGAACCCAAAGACTATGGAACCTCAACTCACGAAGCCCGGCCACCGCTGAGGCGGAAAAGGACATGAAACGTTCCGAAGCAGCAACGAGACCCGTCTTATGCAGTCTGGAACGAATGTCCCAAGCAACTTTTGCGCAAAAGGACTGACATCACAGAAGCACTGGTAGCTGGAAGCCGATTAGAGATCGCAAACGCTCAAGACACCGCTGAGCTCTCTGCAGGACCCTGTAGGCCAACTCATGCATGTCAGCCTGGCCGGTCGAGGACGAATCTGCAAATTGCGGCAAGCACACACACACACACACACACACACACACCAACACACACACCACACACACACACACACACACACACACACACACACACACACACACACACACACACCACACACACACACCACACACACACACACACACACACACACACACACACACAACACACACACACACACACACACACACACCCACACACACACACACACACACACACACACACACACACACACACACACACACACACACACACACACACACACACACACCACACACACACACACACACACACACACACACACACACACACACACACACACACACACACACACCACACACACACACACACACACACACACATACACACACACACACACACGCATACTCACACTCACACTCACACTCACACTCACACTCACACTCACACTCACACTCACACTCACACTCACACTCACACTCACTCACACACACACACACACACACACACACACACACACACACACACACTGACTGCATTGAGGGTGCTATCTGCCATGGTCACAAGACGTCCAACGTACAGCGAAGTTGGACGAAATTGGTGCAGCACAAGTATCTCTTTGCAAACCAAAAGCTAATGATGGCCACAGTTTCTGTACGGCGACCCAAATTCCCAAGAGGTCCAAGTATCATTATGGTATATTCTTGGACCCCCAGAGTACCCTTTAAGTATATACCCCATACTGATATTTGGACCGTTTGGGATCCTCAAGGGAGACTCATTTTTATTCTCCGGACTCGAACACCTGGAGTTGACCTCCTGGCCTGGCTTGAAGGGCTTGTGTAGGGTTCGTGTAGGGCTTTCTCACCATGACGGTGCCGGCTACTGTAGGGGCCCTCAACAAATACCCATACTATTTTGGGGGTTCCTTAGTATAATTATAGCATAATATGCCCGCCAAATCCGATTCGAATTGTTAAGGCTCCTACATTACGCTCTGATTGCTGGAATTGCGCCGGATGAACCCACTGCACTCCTGGCTTCATCGAGCCTCCAGTCAGGACACGCGCAAGTTGTAGCTGTTCGAAAGAGGTTCGAAACCGTCGAAACCCCCTTCCGGGAGTCGGTTTAGCCGTGAAACATCGCAAAACCAAGCCTCCCGGCTAGCTCATAAAAAGGCGCCCCAATGCCTTCAAACAAACACCAAGGGACCGGAAACAAAAAAAACACAGCGCAGTTCTCTCGAGGCTTTGGTGACGGCCATGGAATCCTCGATTTCGCGATGCTTCAGAGGCTATCTGCAAACGAAAGGCGCCAGGCCCGGCCCGGACTCCTAGCAGCCACCATACTTGGACACCGCCGCGGCAGACCCTTGAGGAGAGCACAACCGCAGCTAACTCCCAAGCCTCCCGAAAAATCAAAGTTCCTTTTGCTGAGGGTTTGGGGTTTATGCTGTAGGGTTTATCCTCAACCCTCAACCTGAAACCGAGTACACAGAGCCCATGCCGAGGCCACAACTGAGAACGGCTGCCTGCATAGCCTCAGCTCTATAATCTATGAGATCCTGCTCAGAATTTCGGTCTTTCTGTTGTTTCGGGCTTCGGGTTCTTCGAACTCAGACATCTCCAAGAGGGTGAACTGAAGCTGAAAGCTGCTCGCTTGGTCGCAGCTGACATCTACGACGGAGGCCCGGGTCAACGGACTTTGCTCGTGGATTGTGTCTTAAGCCGGAGCGTCTTTTTTTGCCTCCCGCCTGGCTAGGACGAACCTACGATCGCTCCGGCTTTGAACCAACAAGGTTTTCGGGGCATGACTTGGGCATGTTCGTGTGTGTCTAGAGTTGAAACAGAGGAATAGACAAAGATAGTGGTACATCAGCTTGCAACCATAGGCGCGCAAGACGGATCGGAGAGAGAGAGAGAGAGAGAGAGAGAGAGAGATCGAGGGAGGGAGGAGGGGAGGGGAGGGGAGGGGAGGGGAGGGGAGGGGACAGAGATACAGATACGAAGAGCAAGAGAAGCAAACACAAACATCTATCTATCATTATTCATGCCTTTGTTTATTAGATATGTATACATATATATATATATATACGTACACGTGCTTACTTTCACACACACACACACACACACACACACTCTCTGTCCTCTGTCCCTCTCTCAAGCCTCCTGCACCCACATTCTTCATGAGCCTGACCCAAAAGCAAAACATAGCAAAACACACCATCCTGAGCCTTCCGGCGGCAACGGTCTCGAAGATGAGTCTCTGATCCGGCGTGAACTTCCCACTGGGCCACAGGCGAAGTAGCTTCGGGCTCGGAGCTTGAAGAGACTTGAGCAGGGGTTGAGGCTTTGGATGAGTTTGGGGTCTGGGATTTGGTGGTGGGCATGCTTTGGTTCAGAGAGCTCGGCTGCCCATTCGGCAGTTGCGGTTGGGGGGGGGGGGCAGTAAAACCAGTGCGTCATGTGGCCCCCGAGCTACCCACGGCCTTCACTTCCACGCAGCCTACCGACAATCCCCAAACAACTTCAACAGCTGACCGTGTCGGTGGCTTACTGCCTTAAAGTTTGGGGCTTTTGGGGCAAGGGCGTCAGGGCTGGGGCGTGTACCCTGCCTTCCGCTATGCCCTCAAACCTTGTAGGATTTCGAATGGCGGCGCCGTCATATTCCGGTTATACTGTGGTTAATACTACTGTGGTAATGATTATGGATTTGCCCTTGCTAAGCCGCAGGCTTTGCAGGGAAAGAGTTCGTGATGTCCGAGGCATAGCAGAAGAACTCGCAACCCATGTCGCACAGCACCATGTCTCCGTCCTGTGACAGGCTCGAAGTCCCTCGATGTTTGCACGGCCTGGGGCCTTGGAGCGAAACATGGGCGTGACATAACATGAGTTTATATATAATATTATAACCCTGAGGGTCCTACATGTATCGCAGGTGTGGAATTGCAAAAGCAAAGCCACGTCTATGAATGTTGCACAGCACAAGACCACATATGGAATGTTGTGGCTTTCTGTAACATGTTGTGGAATAATGCAGCCGAGGCTCAATGTCGAAAATCATGATCACAATCCGGCAATTCGAAAGGAGTTAGGGTTAAGGTTTTGGGTTTAGGGTTTAGGGGGGTTTGTGACTTAGGGCTTGGGGCTGAATAAGGGGTGTCAGCCCTGCATGGACTTGAAATTCCAAATCCACGACCCCCCTGGATGCTGCCATTTCCGCTCGGCCGGCGAGTTCGCGGTCGTCAGCACTCGAAGCTTAGGCAGCATATGGTCCAGAGCACATTACTATGTAGCCCGTGGGGTTCTGGGATCGTTCGTGGTGCAGCAAAGGACCATAAACTACAGCTAATTATCGCAAAGCCACAAAGCGAGGCAGGCGCTAAACAACTAGCATTCGAATTAGCATTGGTTCTCGCCCATGAGGCTCCGGAGTGTGCACTGCATCGCGGTTTAGATCATCCTCGGACACATGCGGTTGCAAGTAACAGCCACGACCAGGTATGCAAATAAATCCTCGATCGATTCGGAAGCCAAGTTTCGTGGCATAAAACCGCTGAAGCACGGATCGCTCAACACTTTGTCGATGACATCGTTGGCTGAGGCCTGATAGCACGAATATGTGCATTTACACTAGCTGGTTCGAATAGTGCAGGCTAGCGACATTTAAGCCGGCCCATCATGTCTTCGTCCAAGTAAGTGTGCACGTGTCGTGGATTTAGGACTCGGCTGCACAGTGGGTCACATGCCATATTGTTCGCGATCCCAATAGTTTTTTTGGGAGGCGGCTTAGGGCTAAGGGCTCACGGCGAACCTATAAAGTCCAAGGCTCGGCTGAGGACAGCTGTATGTGCGATCTCCTGCATCGCCTGGGAATGTTCGGGAGTTGCAAGGCTCTAGATTCTATCGAGTCCCTGATATGTAGCAGGTATCGACACTAGGTCTCGGGGTCAGGATTGCAGGAGCTTAGGGTTGAGGTTATAAGTTTGAGCGAGGCACGTGCATTTTCGGCTTTAGAGGCCACAGCCTCTGCCCTTTCAAGGCGGCCCGTCGGGCCAAATCGGCATAGGCTTTCTGGAATGAATCCTGGCAGGCAGCATTAGGGTCGAGGCCTAGCTAGAAGGTTCAGGCGACGAGTTATAGGTTTACAAGGCCTGTATCCCTGGGTATTACTACCTGGTGTCGTGATTGCTCTGGATCTTGAATCAAGTGGCCACAATGCATTGCAACCGCTGGGCTTCTGCAGGCTCCAAATAGCGCCCTCTGTCTTCAATGAAGTTGAAGTACTCGCCCAACCAGAACCTTGAATATTGAAGGTCTAGCCAATCATAATAGCATCTTTAGGGTGTGGCTCTGGATTAATTGCAGTTCCGGGTAACACACATCCAGCAAGGATTTTCAGATGATCATTGTCTCTGTGGCATGGCACGAGTCTGGCCAGAAGGGCCGCGAGCCAGGCGATGATGACCCGAGCCTGCATTGGATGTGTGTGAGTTGGGGGGTTAAGGATTAAGGGCTTAGGGCCTAGGGTTGTGTGCAGCTGGGAAACATTGTGCCCCTTAGCAGCCATCTCCGGGTAGGCAATTCCAGACTCTCGTAGATGCTTGGCGCAAAACTCCGGCTGGCTGTGCCTGATGACTTAAGAATCAGGGTTGAGGGTTTAGGGCTAAGGGTTAAAGGATTGATTGGCCTGACTTCAATATCAGGATTGAGGGTTTTGGGCTAAGGGTTTAGGGCTTAGGGTTCAGGGTTTAAGGATTGATTTTTGTCTGACCTTAATTTCAGGGTTGAGGGTTTAGGGATAAGGGTTTAGTGCT